GTCAAGGCCAGATCAGGTTATCTCGAGAGCCTCACCGTGAACGAAGCCGAGTATAACGGCTTGATCTTGGGGCTCGACATGCTGGAGGGCTTGGATCGCAGACGGCTGGTGATCTGCGGGGATTCTAACCTAGTGATCCGAAAAGTACGGGGTGGCATCGATTGTAAGGCACCCGGACTGACGCTATTGAAGCGGAAAGCCCTCGATCGCCTGAGGAAATGGAATGATCATGAGTTGGTTCACGTCAAGAGGGACTGGAACGGAAGTGCCGACAGTCTAGCAAGCGCCGCTTTGCCCAGGATCTGGTTACTCTGAACCGTTTAGACGAGATCTTGATCCCCAAGACGGAGAATCCAGTGGTTCGAGTCGCCGCGGTGACCACGCGGGCTGGTCGGGCAAGATCCCCGGCGGGTGTCATGGATGAGGGTCTGATCCGCGAAATCCGAGTTAACGGGATGAAGCAAGCCCAAGAGGAAGATGTCTGGATCGCCGGCATGAAGAAGTATCTGAGTGGCTCGATCTCGGATCTCACTCAAGCGGAAGCAAGATCGTATGGCAAGATCGCAGCTGACTACGAGGTCGACGAGCAGGATCTACTCTTTTACTGAGGATCTACTCTTTTACGGCCCCCCCGCCGAGATCGGGAGACGATCGAGACCGATTGATGAGATTGGTAGTTCCCGAAAAACTACAATCGGACGTCTTACATCATTATCACACCACGCTGGAAGGAGGACATCAGGGAGGGGGCGTACCTACCAGCGGATCAGGGATCACTTCCACTGGAGGGGATTATACCGGAGTGTCCAGAGGTATGTGGAGGAATGCGTAGATTGCGAGACAGGGAAAGGAAAGCCGGTGATCCGGTGTGAATCACCCGGAAACTTGCAGGCGACGTATCCGTTCCAGATTATCGCGATGGATCACATACCGTCGCTACCCAAATCCCACAAGGGGAACACAGAATTACTGATCTGGGTCGATCTGTTCACGGGGTATGTGATCGCGAAGGCCAGCTCGTCTCGATCGGCCCAGACGGTTGCGGAATCGTACGAAGAGTGTGTATTTTGGCGATTCGGTGCCAGTGAGATGATCCGGCATGATCGAGAACCCGGCTTCATGTCTGATTTCTTCCGGGCGTTTAAGAATATTTTGGGACAGCGGCAGCGGGCGGCGGTGGCATATCGTCCACAGGCCAACGGGACTGCTGAGAGAATGGTGCAGACCGCGACCAGAGCGCTCAAGATGTACGTGCGCGATCTGGATCAGAAGGATTGGGACGAATATGCGGAGTGCCTCACCTTCGCGATCAACACGGCTAACGATCGGATCCGACGAGATACCCCTCACTATTTGGTGCATGGGTGGGATCCGAGAGCGACGCTGGAGGCTACACTGCCAGTCGGATGTACCAGACGGCGCGATCGAGATGCGCGGCGGTGGCGTTATCGAGTCCAACGATACTATCAGCAATCCCGAGAACAAGTCAACGCTAGATTGAAGGAAGTCATTGCAGATCGGGCCGACCGACACAACGAGGATGTCGGATGGCACATCAGATCGAGGGCGGATCCCGTGTCTGGTTGTACCTAGATCGGGTGAAGGAAGGATACGCGCGGAAATTGGCTCACCTATGGCACGGGCCGTTCCGGGTCGCTGAAAAGATCAACGAATTCAGCGTCAAGCTCGATATCGCAGGCACAGGGTACCAGATCTTCCCAGTGGTACATGTGTCGAAGTTAAAATTGGTCAAGGACTTTCCGGATCGACCACACGTGGAGCCCACGGTTAAAGAGGCGGATCGCCTCGATTTTGATGAGATCTTGCTTCCAGAGGACAGCTGGGTTCCAGATCTGGGTGCTGATGAGTATGAAGTCGAGCGAATTTCAGATGTGCGGAGTGGAAAGAAGACCCGATTCGGACGGATCTACCGGGAGTTCTTGGTTCATTGGATGGGATACGATTAGCCAACTTGGGTTGACGAAGCCGATCTTAACTACGGAGCAATGTTGAATGCCATCCTGTGAGAACGGGCCAATCGGAATCGCTTCAATGTGATGCAATCA